TTACGCAACCAGTGTGCATCGGGTTGGTCACTGGTGTGGAACCCGTCCGCCACGCGTGTGATACCCGTGTGCAACGCGTGACACACTCATTAGAGGGGGAACAAACTTTTGACCAAAGGAGGACCCGTGTTAAGCTGAACCTGGAGGTGGTAACAAGGAGAGAAAATTTTGTTATCCTGACGAAAAATGATAATACACATGTATTTGCTAATGTCTCCTTTCTTTATGTGATTTTGTGAGATTAACATGAATGCTGTTGTGATTAAATAGATCTGTCTTGTTTTATACGACCATTGCTTCTAAATCCGATGGTGTTAAGAGAATACATGGTCCTGGAACATGTTATTGCCATTGAAATGCTTTTATTGTGATTTGACATTAACCGTCTGTAGTACGACTTTCAGTGATAATATGTATGAGGTTTGGCGGCGCATTGTTTTTATTGGACCCTAATTACTTTATGATGACTTGGACTCTCTATGTCAGCTCCATAGCCGTGAGGCTGGAAAAGAGCAGCATGTAATTAATGAGGGTGGGTTATATCATTGAGGATACACTTGAGGGAAAGAATACTAATTACCGTACTACAGGAAGAGACCTGTAGACGTAAGCGCGGGGTTGTGTTTTAGCTGGCCGTTTGATAATGGCCGCCAGGAGAAGTGAGCTTTGACTGCGTCATCTAAAATAAATAATAAGATACAGCAGTGTTATTTTCACGGGTCTGTTGAATAAACTCCCAGCGTTACTGTCAATGTATCTTCTACTTGATCCTTGATACATCATTTTGGCATTCACAATATATAGTATTTCAACGTACAAAGGAGCACTGATCTAAAGCAATTCCGCGGGAGTAGTTGTTGCCTGTGCATTACTGTATTTTCCCAGTGAGTACCCGGATGATATAGCAGAAATCTAAACTTGTTCGCGACCTGTGCTCGCTATTCGTAAGCGCATTTTTATTGATAGTAGAAGGACGTATGGTCACATTGATCAACAAAAATGAAATACAGTTTTGGAAATGTAGGTATATTTGTGGGGAGCATCGGTAATGGTGATGAAGTTTTGATGAGTCACTTGCTTGGTAATTGTGCGATCATCGTGTACACTATTTTGACTTGCAACACAAAGTAAATATTTCATCTGAACATTGCTTATTTTACCGTGTGTATATGTTTACACTCAAAATGTAAACAGATTTCACTAAGGAAATTTATTAAACGCCTACATATTCAGTTATTTTACAAATTAACTGAAAAAAAGTCCATCTTTATTAATATCATAACGAATTCCAAATATTTGTTTATGTTTAATATCATCACCAAGTACAGTTCTGTATTGTTTGGCTTCTTTTCTTAGCATAATTAATATATTGTGATGTGTTTAAGCTCTTTTGATCGTCTTTATCATTTTTAGTCAGTCGGTTAAATAAATTGACAGATTATTCAGTCAATTTGTAAAATGACTGAAATATTTAGATATTTAATAAATTGCCTGAGTGAATCATATTTTACACATTGACTGTAACATATACACGCTTACAAAAGAAAATACTTGTGAAGACAACGTCTATCGCGCATCGAAAAACTTCACAACCAAACGGAAAGGAACAAGAATGATTCTGTTCAAAGCTGCAGCGAATGAATGAAAACAAAATGCAAATATCATAATTACAACCTACCAAAGTTATAATGTATCCGGGAATATCAACATAAAGGAACAATATCCATTGCGTTTGCAGCTGTACAAAAATACTTATTCGATGTCAAATGTCTCTGTGAGAATCAAATACTTAAATAATAATTATTTGGAAACAATATTTGGAATATATATGAAATATATTAAAATATTTAAATATATCGTTTTTAAACGTTATTTAAATGTATCGGATATTATAACCCGTGTTCGTTTCTTAACTGATCATTTAGTTTGTTTCAATTGTTTCACATAAGTGCCAAGTCAGCTGAGAAAGCCCACGTGACAACTATTTTTATAATGTCCACGGTTCTTAAAAACATCCATTGAGTTAGATAACAATGAACAACCAGTCAGTGTATTATCGGTTACCCTTTGAACAAAGTATGTTGTTTTAACATCTGTACTTCACGCCATGATATGAGTGTATTCCCTAGGTTTAGTAAACCTACCTTCACATGTAAACACTTACTTTTGACAAATCCACTGGGCAAGATAACAGCAATTAATCAATCAACGTATTTCCTGTTGATCCTTTGATGTCTGGGAATGATCCGTTGATTTACAAAAAAAGTAAAGCAACTGATCATACATCTCTTGCTGGGCTGCCACGTGCGTATCACTTAACTCACATTCCACCTCACTTCAAACCTGGATTTAGATTGAATAATTACCCCAGGTACAAGAAAGACCAAATTGGAACCTACAACTAAGTATACATGTTATAAATTCATTAACTGAGCAGCAAGTGAATTACGACAAATACACAAGTGTAGGGTTATACCAGAAAATGTGGATGACAACAAGGGAGTATTAATTGTATCATCCACGCAATCCGAAATCTGCAAATGCTTTCACTCATGGATACTTTTTTATTATTAAACTGTAACCATCAGGGGTATTTCCAAATAACGACATCCGATGAGCTTTCGCCGTTATTTGTCTGTTTGTTTAGGCTGAAGAAATCAATTATCATGCGCCCTTTGTCGAAATCTTCATAGATCACGGGTAACCATTCAGTTTTCAAAAATCCGTAAGTTTATTTAGCTGTCCTTGCAGACTGGTAGCCCAGCCTCTTGTCACGCTCGGTTGCGTTAGCGAGCAAATTGACTCACGGCAGCTAGTAAGCCCAAGCGGAAATCCAAAGGTCGTATTACCTGAAAGTCAACCTTCATTTGAGAAATATCTACTGCTCTCAAAATCAATATTTCTCCCAATACTAAAAGTCAGAACTTCTAACTAAGGATTACGAGTTGAAACTGGTCGATGGCTGTGATCCATCCTATCGCTGTGGGAGATGAATTGCATTATTTATTCCGATGTGAAGCTTTTCACCAACGGCGATATGAACTCTTAAATAAGCAATATCTTAAGTTTCCAAACATTTAAGAAAATTATGACCACTAACAGTGCAAGAGATCTAAAAGGCCTATATCTAAATTCCTTAACAATGTGTACAATACAATTGGTAAATTGTATTAGTATCCACGTATCCTATTTTTAATATTTTTGTTAAATTGTACATAATAAACATTGTAGATAACTGTATGTCATGTTTTTCTAAGAATAAATGAGTTTGAGTCCGACACCCGAGAAGAAGCCAGAGATTAGTGCCCCTTTTTGAATAGTTTACAATCATGTGTTTTAGGGTTAGCTGCGTTGGCTTAAACGTATTTTCATTTCAAAAGAAATCTGGATCGGTAAACAAGCAAAACTTGCTTATGTAAATACCTCTCCTGGTAACAACTTAACAACAGCTGGATATATATAAGAGAGTGCTGAACATAAACATACAAAATGCACAATTGAAATACACGAAGCCAATACACTGAAGCAAGTGGTGTCTGTGAAATAAGGTAATGCAGTTTTCCTTTACTACATGCATAAAATTAAGCTACTCAAACCTTTTGCTTTTGACAATGATGTCGTGAACTGATTTAAGAAGAGTCATGTTTGTAGAACTGCTTAACTACTGTCATGTAATATCATTTTTCGACCATACCTATGTGTGTAGAAATACACAGTGTTTCTGATATTTCGTATTTTTTGACAGGTATAAAAAAAAGTGAATTGCATCTTCAAGGTGATATCCACAAGTGCAGTCTGGTATGTCTGATACATGTCGTCTAAACTTATCAGCGTTTAAGTCACTGCAGCTGAGCCTAAGGCGACAGTGAACAATTTGGCATGATCTATGCACACCCGTTGCACACCCGTGTCACATGCGCGTTAAACGCGTTCTCAACGCGTGTTAGGGGAATGAACTTCTAGGCAGTAGTGTACTGACACTGTATACTCACCCTCCATATACTGACACTGTATACCCAGACTCCATATACTGACACCGTATACCCACATTCCATATACTGACACTGTATACCCCCTCATATACTGACGCTGTATACCCGCACTCCATATACTGACACTGTATACCCGCGCTCCATATACTTACGTTGTATACCTGCACTCCATATACTTACGTTGTATACCCGCCCTCCATATACTGACGCTGTATACTCGAACTCCAAATACTGACGCATACTTCCTCAACCGATACTAGCCCACCTCGGGGCGGTCGGGTAGCCTAGTGGTTAAAGCGTTCGCTCGTCACGCCGAAGACCCGGGTTCGATTCCCGACATGGGTACAATGTGTGAAGCCCATTTCTGGTGTCCCCCGCCGTGATATTGCTGGAATATTGCTTAAAGCGGCGTAAAACCATACCTCCCTCTCTCTCTCTCTCTCTCTCTCTCTCTCTCTCTCTCTCTCTCTCTCTCTCTCTCTCTCTCTCTCTCTCTCTCTCTCTCTCTCTCACACACACACACACACACACACACACACACACACACCATTCAGTGCGCTATATCATAAGACTGGGCGCACACTGTATGTAAACAGACCTAACGCAGCTTGGTTTGTCACGGTTAGCTGTTCATTCAACACTGCAAAACGGAGACGGGGGATCACAATGTGTACGTGTTATTTATAGATGATAGATACGTACACCCGACGTTCACATTCTTCTCCTGCTCTTTCCATATAAGGAACGTGACAGGACTATTCCTAGAAATGATGTAGCCAAACCTTATGTACCTTAACAATCCTTATGTATCTTCATGATTTGACGTATTTATAAATGGTCCCCTTCAATAATCCACCCGTTGAGGTTTAAGATTCATTCTGACACCTGACAGACAAGAATTATAGTTGAACATTCATCAACTTAATTCAGGCTTTGACTTTCAAGCCCAAGCCCTGTTAATCGTTCAATAATAGGATTTACTGTATAAACGGTTAACGGCATACTTACAACATTGGGAAATTCCAGGTAATCAAGAAGAAGAGTCGTGAGAGTCTGTTTCCTTGTTCATCTGCTGCATGTAATATACTGACACCGTGTACCAATGAGCCTGAATGAGCTACTGATATGACGCCAAGTCAATTTATACTGCTACTGGTAAAATACGTCATTCATCGAAATAGCTTTCCGAGAAATTACGTGACCTGAAAGACCTTGAATAAAGAAGTGTTGCAGTTGTATTTATAACGACGATCGGCTGTGTCCGTCTTACAATAAGTCAAGGTGACATATGACAAACCTACTTCCCCGCTCTCGGAATGGACTTGTCGGCTCCTTGCTGTCGGATGGAGAAGAATGTGTCCGTATCATGTGTCATCCGTGACCAACTCGTGTTATTTTGGGAAAAGCCGAATAGCGACTCGTGCCCCTCTCATGGACATTTTTGCGACCGGGTTCCGTCTTAGCGCTAACGGGCATACATAAAAGAATTGTCAACTCGTTGCGTAATGGTTCACATATATTTCCCCATATATTATTTATATTTCAGATGCAATTTAAAGCACACCAGGACATGCGGAATTATACAGTATGATTGAAAACATTTAACTGTGTCTTGGGTATATTTTTAGATGCAAGACATATGTAAAATCAAAAATTATTTCTGAGGGATTCTTTGACGAAGAACTTGAAATCATACGCGCATTCTGATTGGTTTGTCGTATTTTCGAACATAACATTCATCGATAGGGGGACGAGTCTTCTTGCAGGTTACGGAAAGGGGCGAGTGGTGACGAATGTGTCATGTGTAACGACGATCGGCTGTGTCCGTCTTAGTTCGGCCATCTCCGGTTGAATGGAAAGCCTTCACGTGACTGGCAGCCAATTATAGAGATCACGTGGTGCATTCAAGGCTGTAAGTTGTGATTGACACTAGATAAACTAGAAAACTTCAAGGCCTTAGGCGTATTCTTAATCAAAACGGAACTAATAACTAATTAAACGCATCTAAAACAAAATAATCTACCAAATCAAAATCACATAAACAAACAAACACCACCCCTACCCAGCTCCCTTAGTTCTCCTCCCTAACCCCATCGGCATCCATTCCAAATCTCAAAATTCCCAAATTGTATATAAGCAACCCCTAAAGCCCCCTCTTGGGTTGCACACACCACTTTCGCCCTTTTCGGAAACACAGTAAATGGCCTGGCCGGGCCGTGTGCGAAATACGCGTACGCATCACACTGCAAACACGAAAACGTCGTTTTTTTCCGTATATGGTCATTGGACGGAAAAACGACGTTATTTGGACGCTTTCAAACCGTCGTTTTTCCGTCCAAATAACGTCAAATAGACATCGGAATTAACTGGGAGAGAACGATATCATCAAGCTCGTCCCCTTCTTGATTGGCATTGTCAATCAAGCAACAGCATCTACCGGTATTCCTACTTCTCAGATTTCATTGGTCAGTTCTCGCGTGTCAGATTACAGGCCCGAGTTTGACGCTGTACTCCAAGCGCTTAGCGGAAGTACTGAAATCAATCGTTCTGCGCATGCGGATTGCTTAATGCCTTGTCCAAATTTTCCGTATTTCCTATATGTCACCACTATTTGACAGTGATTCATAAACACAGTCTCGTGATGAGTTCGGAATCGTGCAATGTCGCTTTAATTTATGGCACGTACTTGATCGGCGCGTATTTCCCATTAACAAATACAATGATAACGGTAATAATTTTAGTCAAAATAATTAGGAAAGCGCAAGGCTCAGGAACGTCTGAGTATAGGAAAAGGATTTATACTTTCGAAAGTTATATACTCGTCAAATACGCAAAAGAATATCAACCAGCTTTAAAAACTTATTTTTTTAGAAGGTGATCTTGGTGTTTATTGCCAGATAGTATGTGCATATACATTTTCCAGATATTGCTTATTTTAATGTTTATTAATAGTTTTAAGGTTCGTCCGCCTAATTGACGGGATTCCACTTTCTCATTTGTACATGACACTTAAACAGTGTTCTGTTACTGTAAACAGATTAGTTTCAAATTCCAAACTGGTGATATCTATTCAGACTAATGCTTAGTCTCTAAAACTGTATAGTTTTGAAAGAAACAAGTAACTCCATTTAAATTGAAGAGGAGCCCCAGTTATATGGGAGATTCCGAGATGAACCTACTCTATGGATATCTAAGCTGCCACCCAAACCCGAAAGCTTTTTGTATGCTATATAGTCACATGGAAGTGCACCAGAATTATACATTATATTCCGGACGATTGTGTTCTTTTATCTACTTTTAAATGTTGCCTATACACTAATCTGGACGTACTACTCATTGTTCTATTTATGTCATCCTATTATATATTTGTATATATTTATATCAGATATACATTAACGAAAGTTACCATTCTAAAGTCATAATCTCATATAACCTTATATTGTTCATAGTATCAAAGTTTATTCAACAACATCAAGAACAGCAATTTAAACTACTGAAACACCCAAACACAAGGCTGTTATCAAGCGCTGGTGCAGACGTGATGCATCGTAAAAAACTGTATCGTGATGTCATCAGAAATACAATTTCTTGCAACATTTAAACTACGAGATAGTAAGGCTAACGCTTACTCACCGGTGGAACGTAGACAATATCGTTAATACAGATATCACGTATTTGAATGTTAATACTAAAGCCAACACTCATTATTTCTGCAGTGACGTTATAACACTTATACACGTTTATTGGTGACTTTCATCAGTTTTGCTATTAATTTTAATAACTTTGTTTTCACATATACAAGTAGCAATACCCGACTAGCCTGTCATACATACTTATGGGGCAGTTTTCAATCTTGTACTGACTTACTCTGGTGTTCCTGAGGGGAGGTTACTGGCTTGGGTGTTATACCCCGTTTTTCTGGTAATCCTATTATTACTACATTTTTATCTAATGGCACCCTGTTCTCTGGATCACGGCTCCGTGACTATCCATAACAATTAAGATGAACATTCAGATCAAGTACATGAATGAGTTTGTTTTGACGCCACAGTCAATCAAAGACCAATGCTGTGCGGTTTGATTACACACTTCTACCAGGTCGAACATCGTGGATCTTTTTCTACCTAAAGAGAATCATAGTTCATATGCTAATCCATCTATTGCCTACCAAAACCGTCCCGCTCAAGATGACCTTACTTGTTGTAAATTCAAATGCGCTGAAATGTGCGTGTCAAGGACAGCTGATGTCCGATGCTGAAGAACCGTGTTCACAGCTGACCGACTTGGTATTTTTCTGCACTGACAGAAACTGGATGTACTGACACACAGCTGTTATAGATATTTAACTAACCCCTGATCAAATAGATGCCCTTCGTTAATCTCTGTGTGGAGTACCGCATATACCTGTGATAACGATACCGGTGGCGATGCTGATGCTGATGGTGGTGGTGATGATAATGATGGTGACGTCGATGATGATGGTGATGATGATGATGATGATGATGATGATGATGATGATGATGATGATATGCTGATATCCTTGCATTTTACAGTGGTGATAAGCAAACTTTAACATCTGAAAAATGAAAACACATTAGGTTGATCATATGATCAAGGCCGCGGGCGTTGCCTAGTGGTAAAAGCGTTCGCTCCTCGTGCCGAAAGTCCAGGTTCGATTCTCTGCATTTCATAGGCACCATGTGGGAATCCCCCGCCGTGATATTGCTGTAATATTGCTAAGGCGGCGTAAAATCCGACTCACTTAAACTCTCATAAATCACTGTGCCATTGCTAACAAGGTTCTGCAGATGGCACCAGAGTATGTCAAGATTCAACTCTCGGTTGGTCTTCTTCCATTATATCTCACTAGGTGGCGCTACTGGCTTCGCTAGGTCGTTCATTCATCCACAGGGCTGTGTACATGAATGGCGGCACTTTCTTAAAGCGGTTGTCAAGTAGGAGTTTATGTCATGGGAAGTTCACCTCAACCGATTCCAGCAGTCCTGCTTTTATCTGATCCTTTGACCTAAGTTTGTGGCTCTGTGACAACATGTACAAAAGAAAGTCTTTGTACAGGAGATGCAATGGGCTATTCATGGCATATCACAGGCTTTTACGGATTGTGAACCGGCCTCGCGATATCTAATCCGCTGTCCTCGCATAGATATTAACATATCTTCGAGATCTGTCTGAATGAATGGCGTGACAACATTCAAGAAGTACGTTAACGGTTATGTGAAATATTAGAATGATTCCACCACAGAAGCCAAATCTTAAAGTTGTTTGATTCTTCGGTAGCATTTTCAATAAATGTTGTTCACGAAAGGTTCCTGAATACATTAATCGAGATTACGCTATCCGCATGGATGACCTATTCCTGCATAGATATATCTAGATCGGTGACGCTAAGCCGGTGACCCCTACCCAGATCCGGACATACCAGTGAAACAGGCACTCACTCACTCACTCACTCACAATGTATCAATCTATCAATCTATCCATCAAACAATCAATCAAAATGGAAATCGAGAGACGGATGCTTGACTCATTGTAAGTCTTTGTTCACCATTGTATCGTTGCTAGTGGTACCAGTTACCGGTTTGGGCTAGACGAAGCATTGACGAAGCAAAGAGTTTAATCAGACGTCTCCTTGAGGGAGACTGGTATCACGCCTGTGATCCCTGGCGATAAGAAATATGACATTGCGTACAAGGCCAGCAGTTAGACGTATCAACGTATAATCGTAAATTCTCCTCGGCGTAATATATATCTTGCAGGTGTACGTAAACAGGATGTGTTTGGTAACTTGAGCAGGAAGCACAAGTGCACGAAGGGATGGTATTTCAGATGACAAATGAAAGAAGACAGAAAGATTGTGACCCAAATTTAGTGTCGCACACACGAAATTTTATTAAATGTACCCTCGAGAGTCAGTAAGAAACTAGAAATAACTGCCTTTGTTCTGTAAATCTCACCAAGTTTCAGCTTTCGCCTCTTTCTTTGTGGAATGAGGTTTCACATTTGTAAAATGATCTCTGTTATCTGCCTGTACCATCAACTTAACTGCCCCACCCCATGCAGTTTTCCCGTCCCATATTGCCAAGCAGGTGACCCACAAGGAGGAATACGGCCCTCCCTCTGTCCAGACTCATGAGTTATACTGTGCCTACCACAATAAGTTGTGAATAAGTAGCCTTGCTGTGGCCAAACATTTTGTAACAATTTGGCAAACTTTGATATGTAAACAGCACATATAATTTAGTTTTATTTCATCTTAACATATCAGTTGAATCCCACTTGACCTTTGAAGATCCGGTTCCGAAAGGATTT